ACACACCACCTCATGGTCACGCGTGAAAACATCCTATAGTTTGTACATGATTAATTCTGTTGAAGGAGTTTCCCACAGCCCAGACCTTTTCTCCTTACATCAGTTAAAAATGGAGGAGGATCAGCAGAGTCATGAATATTGGATCATATTTATTTTTATAGGATATGACAGTGATTATGAAGGAGTGAAAGAGGCCAAACACACTGCAGGGAGGAAGGTTTGAGTGGCCACAACATCTCCTACAATCACAGCTGGACAATTGAAGATCATTTGGGTCAGAAAGTCTCCAAGACTGAAATTCAGCAGTCTTTTTTCACAAGGTTAAACAAACAAACACCTTTTTTACAGCCTTCTTTGCTCTTTTTTTAACCAAGGGTCAGTTTTAGTTGAGGGTAGTGTAGTTGCATCTACTTGCACACAACTAAAGATTCAGAGACACACACCCATTCTGCAGCAGCACAGCAGCGTTACTCACTTCAGCAGTTTGATGGTCTGTCCACGGAAGCAGGGCAATCCTGTGTCCAACATCAGTGTTACCAGGGCAACCACTGCATCCATATATGGCCTGAGGAAAGATTCAGTCAGTCTCTAGACCTCCAACACACACACACAAACACACACACGTGCACACGTGCACACGCGCACACACACACACACGCGCTCACACACACACAAACACACACAGACAGACAGACAGACACACAGACAGACAGACAGACAGACACACACACACACACACACACACACACACACACACACACACACACACACACACACACACACACACACACACACACACACACACGAGCGCGCGCGCACACACACGCATGCACAAACACACACGCGCACACACATTTACAGATAAAGGCACACGCACACATACACACACGCACACACACACACACACACACACACACACACACTCACACGCACACACACACATATACAGATTAAGATACACACACACACAAGTCTCACCTGATGACCAGGTACCCATGCAAACATTTAAACGCGCACACACACAAACACACACACACACACGCACACACACACACACACACACACACACACACACACACACAAACACACACACACACAAACAGATAAAGATACACACACACACACACACACACAAGTACATTTACACACACGCACCTGACGGCCAGGTATCCGCGCACACACATCTCCATAAACCATTTAAAGGGCGTGGCCTCCATCTTCCCGCCCATGATCATCACCATCTCATCGGTCAGTTTGATGTCCGGCTCCCAGCCCAGATTCCCACCCGGAGAACTCTCAAACATGAAGCCGAAGTCTGCAGAACACACACCTCAGGTCATACACACAACATTATAACAAAGATTAGCAGTGTGTGTGTGTGTGTGTGTGTGTGGCTGACCGATGTGTATGAGGTGACCCTGGCGGTCCAGCATGATGTTTCCATTGTGTCTGTCTTTGATCTGCAGCAGGAAGAGCAGCAGACTGTACGCTGCCATACTCCTGATGAAGTTATACCTCGCCTGATACACACAACACACACACACACACACACACACACAGGAGTTTGTCAGTTTTCAAAGTCTGGTTCTAATTCATGGGCACTTCTACTTTAACTAATTCTTCTTCTTAAAGAGTTCTTACCAGCTCTAGAAAATATGATCATATCACCCCAGTTTTGTCCTCCTTACACTGGCTGCCTGTTCAGTTTCGTATTGAATTTAAAATATTGCTTCTCACCTATAAAGCTCTAAATAATCTAGCTCCTGTTTATCTAACCAACATTCTGTCTTGCTACAATCCAACTCGCTCTTTAAGATCTCAAAACTCAGAGTTTGCATGTTCATTCCGCTGTGGCGACCCCGGATTAATAAAGGGACTAAGCCGAAAAGAAAATTAATGAATGAATAAATGAAATTAAAAAATTAAAATAAATAATATATATATATATATATATAAATTCTCTAGATAAAATTTTTTAAATTCAGCTTTTTAAACATATTTTTGTCATTTATTATTATATGTTTATTATAGGTAAATTTTTTTAAATCATGTCATACACATCTAGGAAAAAACGTTTAGACATGGTATCACTCAAATTTACGCTTAAATTAGTTTTCCACAACTTTAAAAAGCCTGAAACTTTCCAATGACTATACTATCTAGTTATATATAATTGTTAACAAATAAAAAAGTACTTATTCTATTATAATTATTATAATGAATGCAGAAATAAATAAAACTCTTTTCTCTTTTTTTTTTTAGCCTATTTTACAGTCCACCTTGTGGTGTGTTTTTAGTTGCTGTCATATCATTCTCTGGAGTTCAGCAGGTGTAGAGCAGCAGGAATACAGCACACACTGATTCTCTTCTCACCTTCTGAAAGGCCAGAGTGGACTCGTCTCCATACGATTACGGAAATAATCGTACATCCCAAAATCCGTCTGTCGGCCCAGTTGATCTCTGGACTTACAGTCTGGGATGCACTCGATGACGCCACACTGTGGACAAACACAGGACAGCACATTCACAACCATTTAGAATTTACTTGCATATGCTACAAATCAGACCAGAAGCAGCTCATTGAAATATTACACAATACTGAGAAGGTGTGTGTGTCTTCAGGTAATGCTCATGTGGAGCTTCACTGCCATTCAATAAGCAGATTTATTTGTTTTATAAGATTTATTGCATTAATTGAATTCATTTAGTCACATAACAAAGTTGGGTCCAGTTTTTGAAGGAGGTGTTTTATTAGATCA